CTCCTTTTTCCTTTACTTCTCACTAACGAATTAACTGGAGTAAATTTCTGATTGCGTTCTCTTCGCCTTTTTTCCTGTCTTTGTGAGTGGATGGTTTTCAAACGCCACACAGACAGGAGAATGCTGTAAGCTGTGAATGTTGTTCACATCGTCGCCCCTTCCTAGGCTTGAGCTTTGCCAACACGACTGTTCATGAGAAATTTTACTAATGTTCATTCACAGCGGTCTTTTCCTCCGTAACATTTCAGCCCTGGAACACGGGCAGAAGTCGACGTTGTAAAAGCTCTGGTGCCCTTTTCCTCACCCAGAGCTTTGTCAGATCGATTACTATTTTCAGTCTCCAGAAAAGGGTGTTTCTAAAAAGACTTGGGAAGCAGCGGCTCTGTGACTTTGCTCTGTAGCCACCCTGTATTCCAACAGTCAGGCCAGGGGACTATAAATTAAGGGGTCCAGACAGTCACTGTGGCAGACTCAGTGGACTTGGGGCCACACAGGAGCGCTGGGTGAAATGGGAAGAGAAAGGCTTCCAGTGCGCAAACGCAGGAGCAGCAGTTAAAAAGGCTCAGGGCTTGATGCGGGGAGGGGTGAGCCCTCAGCCCCACGTGTGATGGGTCAGAGCCCTCTGCACAAAGCTGCAGACTTTGTAGGGCTATTTTATTTTTTAAATTTTTTAAAGTATATTTAAGTATAGTCAGTTTACAATGTTGTATCAATTTCTGGAGTACAGCACAGTACTTCAGTCATAGAGGAACATTCTATTATTCATTTTCATACTCTTTTTAACCATGAGTTACTACAAGATATTGAATATAGTTCCCTGTGCTGTGCAATATAAACTTGTTTACCTATTTTATACATAGTAGTCAGTATCTGCAAATCTCAAACTCCCAAGTCATCCCTTCCCACCCCTCCCCCCACCTAGTAACCGTAAGTTTGTTTTCTGAGAGTCTGTTTCAATTCTGTAAGTTTGTCTTTTTTTTTAGATTGCACATATGTGATGTCATATGGTGTTTTTCTCTCTTTCTGACTTACTTCACTTACAATGACATTCTCCAGGAGCATTCGTGTTGCAGCAAATGGCATTATTTTATACTTTTTTATGGCTGAGTAGTATTACATTGTATAGATATACCATGACTTTCTCATCCAGTCATCTATCGATGGACATTGAGGTTCCTTCCATGTCTTGGCTGTTGTAAACAGTGCTGCTGTGAACACTGGGGTGCAGGTGTCTTTTTGAATTAGAGTTCCCTCCAGATTACTGTGCAGGAGTGCGCTTGCCGGATCATAGGCTAAGTCTATATTTAGTCTATTGAGGAATCTCCATACTGCTTTCCATAGTGGCTGCACCAAACTGCATTCCCACAAACAGTGTAGGGGGTTCCCTTTTCTCCACAGCCTCTCCAGCATTTACTGTTTGTGGACTTTAGAATGACGGCCATTCTGACTGGTGTGAGCTGATACCTCACTGTAGTTTTGATGTACATTTCCCCAATAATCAGCATACTAGGCATTTTTTCATGTGCCTATTGGCCATCTGTATGTCTTCACTGAAGAATTGCTTGCTTAGGTCTTCTGCCCATTTTTGCATTGTGTTTTTTTTTTTTAAGTTGTATGAGATGGTTATGTATTCTGGAGGTTAAGTAGGGGTGCTATTTTAGTGGCACAGAAACTGGAAAAGTGGTCCTCACTGGACTGACAAGGCAGCAGTGACTCATGCTCTGTCCCAGTGGAAACGGGTGGAACACAGAATCACCCACCAGAAACTGGAAGCCCGTGCTCGGGTATGAGGTCCAGTTTTAGACTCTTCCCAGTGCTCCAGGCACTAAGCTCAGATATGAGGGAAACAGGGCCCTGGCAGAGGCCAAAGAAAGACCATTTAGGAGAACAGCCCGGAGCTGCGCAGCCAGCCACAGTGCGGTGAGTCGCTGAACCCACAGACACGTGTCAGCTCCCCAAGACCTGGGGTGCAAGGACTGTCTGAAAGGGTCTATAAAATACTGAGGAAAGAGGACCTGGAAATCAAAAAGCCAGAGCGGCACGGAACGTGAGAAGGGGGATTGGGAAGAAAAAGTAAAATGTACAGATATGAAAAGGGTAGTGCTGAGTGAAACACACTGTTTAGTGTCGTAATAGTTCAGAGAAAGGGAAAGGAAATGGAAGCGTGGGGAGATTCAGGTAGAAATGGATACAACCTCCCGGGCGAGAAGAGGCAGTGGGACCAAGGCAGGAGTCAAAGTGCTTTTCCTACGTGAAGGTGAACCAACCTTCGAGCATCTGTAGCTTTCCAGGTGTGAGCAAGACAGAAAAACAAATCCACACCTAGAGTGAGGGTGGTAATGAACGTGCAGAACATCAAAGACAGACAAAATTATAAAAGCACCCAGAAGGAAGAGACGAACTACCTGCAAAGAACCAGTCCCCTGAGTAGATGATGCAAAAGAAAATGAGAAAAAAGTTACCATAAACTAAATGCTACCATTCAGACGTATTTTAAAATGTGATCACACGTTGTGGATGCAGAGAAACAGCCCACACGTAGGACGGGAATGAAGACGACTGGGAGACGGGAGAAGACCAGGGTTGGGGAGGAGGGAAGACGACTTTGTGTCTGAGGCTTTGTCAGTTCTCACGCAGGCCCGCACCTGGCAGTGCAGGACTTGGTACAGGAGCACAAGTGGGGACCACGGGCCCGCAAGTAGACGTTCTAAGTCAGGCTAACAGATAGCCACATACCATGATGAGCAGACCTGTGCGGAGATGGCAGGGCTCAGTGTGATGCCCAGTTCCTTTGCAGAGTTAGCTGCACTAGGAGGGGTCTGTGCACGGGTGTGGACATCCCCGTCCCCACATCCCACAGGTCTAGCAGGGTGCACAGTGGCTGGCTGGTGATGAGGGAGACAGAGCTAATGTGGGGGGGGCTGGCCCTGGATGCCCGCTTGAGGGAATCATTGAGCAGGGCCTTCTACGGTCCCCTGTACTTGGGGTGCAGGGCAGGTGTGGGCTCTTGGACACATCTCCTTGATCCCAGGGACCCCCTCAGCAAGTGGAGGGGCTGGAGCACAGGGTTAAAGGGCGGCGCTCCCGTGGGCTAATGCTGAGTGGACAATAGGCACTTGCTGTCCTTGCTTTGACCGTTGCTATGTGTTCAGAGTATTTCATTTTTTTTTGAAAACTACACCTTTCTGTGAGGAACTCAGACGTCTGTCCAGCACCCACACCCTCTGTGCTTGGAGGCACTGAGCTTGCTTCCAGCTGCCCAGGAAGAGAATAGGATGTGTGACCCGTGAGGTCACCAGGAGGGGGCTTCCGGACCTGAACCGGTGGTTGGTCCAGGGGTGACTGAGCAGATGAAGGGCTTGGTGGGGAGCCCAGCCCTGCCCTCCCCTCCACTCCTGGGGAGCGAGGGCCTTCAACCCACTGGTGTACTGGTGTCCCCTCCCACGGGCTCTGAGCACCGGGCAGTGCCTTCTGTGCAGGCACCACGGACGGTGCGGCTTAGACAGGGAGGGCAGCCCCGCATGACACTCCCCACCTCCTGGGAGCTGCGGGCGGTTGGGGGGCCACACGTGGGGTCAGAGCATCTGGTCCTCCCTGCGGCCCAGGCGGTGGTTCAGCAGGACCCAGGGAGGCTACTGTGGCCCCTGCAGAAAACATACGAGAAGGGAGGGAGAGGCAGGGTGAGGGGGCAGAAGAAATGTGTTCCCAGCAGTCATCAAACATCTTCCCCAGGGCTGGCCGAGGCCCAGCCCAGTACGAAATGAACTTCAGCTCGTGTGGAGGGGAGCCGGGCCTTGCTCCCCTGGCAAAGGCCCTTACGGGAGCGTGAAATGGGCCCTGGTCAGGAGAGACTTGTCCTCGGACAGGGGGTCTGGATCACAGGCCACTGCAGCCCCTCCAGTTCCCACAAACGGCAGATTAGGGGTGTATTCGTTGCCACAGCAAAAGACCACACACTGTGTGGCTTAAACACCTGTTTCTCTCCCAGCGGTTCCGGAGGGCCCAAGTCCAAGAGCAGGGCCGGTTCCTCTGAGGCCTCCCCCTCCGCTGGCAGGTGAAGGGCGCAGTCTTCCTTGGTCTTCCCCTGGTCACCCCTCCGTGTGTGGGTGCACCCTAATCCCCTGGCCTTACTCGGACAACAGTCAAGCTGGATTAAGTCCACGCCGTGCCCTCATTTTAACTGCGTCGCCTCTTTAAAGCCCCCTCTCCTAACGCAGCCCCCATTCTGAGGCCCCAGAGGGCTAGGACTTCCACAGATGAGTTCTGGGGGAGCACAGTCCAGCCGTGGGGCACCGGCAAGCTCCACACACAGTGTCTGTTTTGGTTGAAGCCAAGTGCCACCCTGACAGGAGATCAAAGCACGTGTGCACCTGGCGCCTCTCAAGCACCCCACCTCTGGGCAGGGCATAAACCACAGCTGTCCTCCAACGGCCTCTGTGCTTCTGCCCCCAGCAGGGGTACCTCGGAGCGAATCATTTCAGGAGAGGTAGGAAGAACTCCTAATCCTGGTTGTTCCAAGAAAACTTACCTTGGTTTTCACTGTGGTTCAAAATAAGCATCAGGTCCTGTGTAAGGAACCCGTCTCCTCCCGTGGTCCCAGGCAGTGGGGCACGGCCTGGCACCGGTTCCTGGCAGCTGCAGGTGGGACGGAGGCTTTTAAGACATTCCCGGGAGAAACAGGCGGCTCCCTGCAGGTGTTCTGCGGAGCTCAGGCTGGCCTGGTGTGAATGAGCACTTGTTCACTCACAGGCAGGCAGGGTCCAGAGGCGTCGGGTCCGGGGATCCGTGTGGGGCCGACTGCTGCCCGCGCAGGGGTGAGATCACACGTGCTGTAAATAACAGGACGTTTCCTCCAAAAATGTCGTGAAATGGGACGTTTTTCTGGACGTGGGGCAGCCTTTTTCCCCAGTGTGTTTTACTTTAGGACCTGCAGTTATGCATCGAGCCCCTGGGAGAGGGGTCCATGGGGACAGGGGCTGACCCATTTCATCTGCCCCCAGGATGAACGAACGGGACCGGCTGCTGAAGAGGCTGAGCAGGAAAACGCCGCCCACCCTGTTCCGCGGAGGCTCCCTGCAGCAGTCCGTGCCCCGTGAGTAGGCGCCCCGGGGGCGGGATGGGAGGAGGGCTGGGCGGTGGGCCTGGTCAGAGGCGCCAGCGCAGGTCATCCCCGGGACCCAGACTTCAAATCCTGATGTGGTTTAAGATCCTCCCATCAGCCAGTGGGATTCTAAGACTGACGTGATGTTACTTTTAAAGGGTTCCCCCCAATTCGCACATTGATTAAAACAAGGACAATCACTGACAATCCCCACCCCTCTGCAGCTGGAGGCCAGGCCTGGTTTCTGCCCAGCAGGGCTGTGTGGGGTGCACGGGAGCCCGGCGGGAGGCCATGAGCGAGGGGCATGGAGCTGGGACAGGTTGGTGGGGCTTACCTGCCAACCCAGACACTGTGCCGCCAGCCGAGGGCAGCACTGGCCCAGTACAGGTGCCCTCGTGCAGGCGGCCTCCCTTCCCCAGGGCTGAATCCCACCTCCCCCTCCAGCCCCCACTCACTCCCCCTCTGACACCACACAGGCATCACTTTGACCGATGCCCACTTCTTCCCCTTCGCCTCTGAGGCGTTGAGAAAGAAGAACGGGTGGAAAAGTGAGGACTGCTTGCACCCGGAAGACAGGTGTTGGAGGGTTCCTGCCGAGCCCGCAGAGCTCCACCTGTGAACAGGTCTTCACAGACCTGGGCAGAGAGAGGAGGGAAGGGGGCATCATCAGCATCCGTGGTCCCCTCCCCGCAGCCCCACATGCCTCATCCACGCAGGAGGAAGGGGGCTGAGGCCACCTTGGCGGGGCCCACAAGCTCCGCGTCTGTGAGGCTTCTCCGCCCAGGACGCCTGGCAGGGCCTAAGGGCAGTGCGTCACTGGCCCAGGGCAGCCCAGAGCTCAGGTTCCTGGCCACGGCCTCCGGGCCCCCCACCTCCCTGGAGCTGGGCTGCCTGCAGTCCTGTCCCAGCACTGCCACTTTTCTGTGACTTTCGGTAAGTTAACCCGTTTCTATTCCTGTAAAATGGAGCGGACATGCGCACGCACCTGGCATTACTGGGAGGATTAACGGAGGCTGCTGTATAAATGAGCGCCTGCGGTAGAAGCCCAATAAACATTAGGTATTACTTTTTTTTTCCTGCCACTAGTTGAGGAAATCTGAGCCACTTACCTATTCCCCTAAACTTGTTTTCTTCTCTGAGAAAATACCAGAATAACTTACCTCTTATACAGCCCGTGAGGCTTCACGACGGAGCGGGGGGAGCAGGCAGAGGAGGAGTGCTGAGCCCCTAAAAGCGGTGTTCATGCCGCGGAGCCTCCAGCCTCAAAGAATGAACCACCAAAGTGGAGACTTGGGAGGACTTTTGTGGGAGCATCATAAAGGGTCTTAAAACAACCACTAAACGTTCTCCAGACTCTGTTTTGAAGGACAAAAAATTTCTAATGAACAAGAGCTATACAAGAAAGCGGCTTAAAATCACACATTTTAAAGACACTCAGCAACTAGTGATGAGAGCCTGCTGGGCCCCAGGGCGTCTGTCCCTGACCCACAGGGCGAGGAGGCGCTCCGAGACCGGGCCTCTGTCTTCCCAGGAACCTCATCTCCGAGCACCCGTCGCTCCCAGGGGCCGCCACACCGGTGTCTGTGACCGACCCCGCGCGTCCCACACAGCCGAATCTCCTTGTCCCCACCACACAGCCGAATCTCCTTATTGTCCCCACCACACAGCCGAATCTCCTTATTGTCCCCACCACACAGCCGAATCTCCTTGTCAACCCCGCCGGCTTCCCAGCTTCTGTTGCTCCTGGGAATCTTTTTCCAGCCAGGGAGCAGCCACCTTCGTTAAGATGCTATCAGAGCTCAGACTGGAAGGACTGCTACTTAAGGGGAGTTTTACTCCAAAATAACATGATTTTTAGGAATTTCACCAAATATTCTACCTGGAGAAGACAGACCTCAGCCCCTCAAGTGTGGTCTCCAGGCCCCCATCAACCCTTCTGAAGATGAGTGAAGGTGGGAAATGCTACGAGCTGGGGGTTCCCTCTGAGGCCCCATCTGGATGCAGATGGCAGGCAGGAGCTGGTGAGCTGAAGGTGCTGGCAGAGGTGGGCCGGGTGGCTGTGGCCCCTGCTGTCCTGCTGAGATTTCTTCCACTGTGGCTCTAACCCCTACCAGGCCTGGCTTCTAAGAGGGAAGTATTTATGGGTCACAGAGACACCCCTATCAGGCCGCCCTCCTTTCATTCTTGAATTGAAAGGACACTTAACCTCGCTTGAGTGTCAGAACGTCCTGGTGCACATTCTGGAAACATGACGGTAGATGCAGCTGGACCAGGAGCCCCTCCGGTAGTGACCTCTGGCGAGACTGGACCAGAAATGCCTGAAACCCTCCCCACCCTAGAGTGGCTGTCATCCCGCTGGCCGGCCCTCCTCCAGCAAGACAAATGTGAGCTGAGGACGTCAGGCAGCTCCGAGCTGAAGAAACCAGCGCAGGGCTTCCTGAACGGAAAACGACAGATAAAAGAGACGGGGCCGCTGCTCCTTCATTCCAACAGGGAGTGGATGGTTCCAGATGTGAGATACTCCCCCAAAGGACATTCCCAAACAAGGCTTATTTTCCTGTCTCAGCAAGTCCCCTTCATCCCTTTCTCCACTAGTCTCCACCCCCAACAACAACAACAACAAACCTCATTAAAAAACAGGTAGCAATGTTCTATTTGGGCTGACAACGGCCTGGAGGGGAGCCTCTGCCAGCACTGGAGAGGCTCTTGTAGTCTGGGCACCGCCGGCGGAGGACCCGTCCTGGGGCCCACAGGGAGGGCTGGAGCTGGGAGGGCCTGGTCCAGGCCATTTACAGAAAAGTGAGCCACGAAGGCCCAAGAGTTTAAAGGCTAAGCCCTCCCCGGCCCTGGACTCTGGGTCCACGAGGATGGCGGAGCACAGGGGAGGGAGAGCTCCGTGGTGGCCTGCCTGCCCCAAGGGTGGAGAAGGGCACTTACAGGGGCTCCCCATCCCTCAAGGTCAGCGCCACTTCTCGGGGCGGAGAAGCAGCCCCCGGGTGTGGCAGGACCACCGTTCCCACAGCACGCTGGGTCCAAGGACAGCTGCTGCGGCACGGCCACCTTGGTAAGCAGGAGCTATTACTAGAAACGTCCCCTTCAGGAGACCAGAGGAAGAACGCTGCCCGGGCCAACCGCAGAGCTCAGCCTTGTTGCCAGAAGAGGCAGTGCCATTTGCTAGATTTTACTTTGAAACACTGCAAGGCCAGCAGCTGGTCTGGGACGGCAGCAAGGACACAGCACAAAGGGCACCTTGTGGGGCACGGGAGGCAGGGCCCGGAGAACCCTTGGGCCACCCAGGGTTTCCTCATCTTGGACCCACAGCTCCGAGGTGGGAGGAGGCCGTTCCTCTTCAGATCCCAGGAAGTCTCCGAGGCCGGGAGAGTGGCACAGCCTCCGTGGGGAGGCTCAGGGCCCACCGGCTCTGCACCCACTGCAGGGCGCACACTGGCCTGGGGGCTCTGCCTGGTGCTAGGACAGTGGACATGCGGGTTTTGGTAGAAATGCGGGTGAGCAGCCAGACTGACATCCCAGTGGAGGCTACCCTCGGCTCTCAATCTGTCTTTACTCCCACCCCCTCCCTGCTGCCCAGCCACGACCTCAGTGGCTCCTAGGCCACCTCTGCAGACAAGCCCCGGGTCCTCTCAGGCCGAAAGGCTTGCTCTCGGCAAGAGCTGGGAAGCTAGCCCCTGGGGACAAAGGCGCAGTTTCTGCACATGATCAGAGCAGCCAGTCACCTCCAGCATCTGCTTTTGAAGTCACTTCCTGATCACCCTCCCCATGAAGACTTTATACGTTGCTCTGTACATCTTTATAGTCCAGAAACTTCCCTTCTCAAGCCAAGTGTCTGAGTAAAGTCAGAATCCAGGATGATACACAGGCATACTCCTGACCTCTTCTCCTTTAAGGGCTGTGAGCTAACAGCACCAGTGGTAAGTCCTAAACACGTGCAGGCGGGAGGCAGGCTTTGACTGTCGTTTTTTGATCAGAGGTCTAATTCAGCTTGTGGGACTTTTCCGTACCCCTGACCCAGAAGACTCAGTCAACAGAGCGGGTGTTACCTGTCCCTTCTGTAGGAAGGGCCAATTAGGAAGCAGAGCCTTATTCTGGGCTTCTGAAAGTTAACCCCATCCCAGACCCTCAGGACGGAGCTGCAGGCACGCTCGGGCCATGCCTGGGTTTGCCTACCAGCTCTGCCGCCTTGGGCAAGTCGTGATGTCACCCATGCCTCCATTTCCCCATCTGTGAAATGGGAAGAACTCTGCCGCCTGTCTCACAGCGCTGCTGGGAGGAACAGAAGAGCTGAGCATGCACAGCACACACCACATGCTCTGGACACACAGCAACTGATCCTGTCGGCTGCTGGTAGTGTTGCCATCATTTCTGGAACCAGTTGTAAAAACCAGTCTTCCTGTAGCCACTGGGCCAATTAAACACCTCTTGACTTTTTCTAGTGATTTTTTTTTCCTTTACCTACGCAAAAGTAGACCCGCCAAATACGCCTGATGTGAACGCTCCCAGCACCCCGTGCACTTTGCCAGCCCTTACTGTTAGCGTATGTTTTACCTGGCATGTTTACACCTTAATAAATCACCCACGGGCCTGTAGCTTCAGGCTGACTGGAACCTTTCCGGCGCAGGACCTGTCCTCCCCGGGGGCTGGCAGTGGGACAGTGCGGCGGGAGCCAGTGACACGCTGTGATTCACAGGCTGCGCCGGGCTGCAGCCCCCAGAAGTGGGAGGACACTCCCCAGCCCAGCCCAGCAGCAGTACAGAACCACCCGGACTCCGCCCCTCGGGCGCACCCTCCATCCTCCTCTTTGCCACACACGCCCATGAGGATCAGCTGTCTCTGGACCCCTATCCAAGGCCACGGGGCCTGTGGTAGGAGCTTGGCCACGGTCTCCCCGTAAAGCAGCTTCTTCCAAACCCAGTGCACCGCCCCCCCACCCACCCCCCGCCAGCCTGCTCCTAACCAGGCCTCTGTGCCCTCCTCTTTCAGATGGGTACGCCTTCTCCCAGGAGGAGCACGGAGCCGTCACTCAGGAAGAAATAGTCCGCGCTTACGACACCACCAAACAGAAATCGAAGAGGAAGTAAGACGCAGGCCTTCCCGCGGGCTCCCCGAAGGGGCGGCGGCGGCGGCACGCAGTGTTCGCGCATCCCTGGCGGAAGAGGCCGGTGGCGGCAGCCAGAACACTGGGACACCCATTCTGTGGCCTTAGCCGACCGGTTTGCTAGTCCCACTCACCCCGCAAACCCGAGGGCTCCCCGCGGGGGGGCCCTTCCTTCCCTTCCAGCCCGGCTGCAGCGCTTGGCCCGCCTTTCGTTTACGCTGTTAGGAAGCGTTCGACTCTGCTCTGTCAGGTGTGAAATTAAAAACATAATGTTTCACCAATACTTAAACATCAGTACTGGTTGTTCTGGGAGAAAGGGAAGAGGGTTTTATGCTGCCTGAGAACCCGTCTTGCGGAACTGGAGCCGGGGCCGCGCCGCTTCCTGCCATGTAACCCCCAGATAAGTCCGCGGGGCAGCACGTGAACTGCACTTTATGCAGGCCGCTCTCTTGCTGATTCCTTTTGTTTGTACGAAATTGCCATAAACCTGACTGCAGTGAAATCACAAAAACATGTATCTGGGTGGTAAGCCTGAAAACGGTTACTTGAACCTCCCTGTCACATTTGCAGCGGGGGGACCCGTTGGGGTCCCGACATTCCCCTGCGTCCTCGCCAGGTGCCTCCCGGCCAGTGGCCCGGGTGCTCTCGGGCACCCCGCGCTCAGACCTGCTGCATGTGGCCCTGTGCTTGGAGCATGGCAGCTGCGGGCACCCCGACCACCACTCATCCTTCTCCCGCGGATTCAGATGCGGATGCGAGAATCCCTTCTTCCACCGCCCTGCCCCTTCTGTAACGGAAGAAACCACTCCACGTATGTAATACGCGTGTACCTGCCTCTTCCTGAGGACAGGGACACCTGCGGGTCAGGGCGATCGTAGAGCCCCTTTGGCCCCGCCCACCCTGGTCAGGCTCTCAAAACTCCTCTCCTGGCCTCCAGACCTCTGGATCTTGGCACCTGCTTAACTTAGAACCCATGCTTGTTCTCTTGGGAGTTCAGAGCACGTTTCAATTTTTAGTGAATTTATAGCATGTCTCCCCAGCAAAGGAACACACCTGTGTCACTGCAGCTCTAGAATCTGAGAGCAAGGAGGGGTAGGGGAGTAAGGGCCCCAGGGTGAGGCAGGCCACCCTCCGCGAGGGTCCAAGGGCACAGAGACAGTAGGGTGACGACAGAGGACACACCCTGCAAACCTCCCCAGTACAAACTCGGAAATCAAGCCCCGGAGCCCCGGCTATCGATCAGCCTGAGGTGTCCGCTGACATGCAGTTTTAATTGAACAGCAGTCCAAACATTTCACAGAAACGGCCTTTCTTCTATGGACACGTTTCTCTTCCCCTCCCGTCAGTGTCAGATCCAGGCACCTCCCGGAATATGAGGGGCCCTCAATCTAAAACAAGGAAAGTGCTCAGTCACTGGCTTTGGAACCTCAGAGTCCCCCTTTCTGAACTGGAGGGAACCTGGACGCCTTCGGGCGTGAAGGCTGCACGTGGAGCCCTTAGTAAACCACTGGTCTGGAGGCACATCCTCTGCTCCCTGCTTTGGTCGCCAAACCAGACTTTTGGATGGTTTAACGTAAATACTTCTGGGCAGCTGCTGCCGGTTAAAAGGGCACAGTTCCTCGGGGGAGGGCTGCGCTAAATCAGGAAATGAAACAACAGGGCATTTTGCTTCCTCCCCCTTCATCTGGGAACATCCACATCTCTCTGGTGTTGAGATCATTTAAAGCATGATTTGCATTATCTAAGCACCCAAATCCCTCACTCAAGAGGTGCCCAGGCCCAGAGAGGGCTCGGGGCGGCGGGGCAAAACAACGCAGCAAACAGGTGAAGGCAGGGAAACGGCCAGTCCTTCCTCCCCAAGGAACAGAAAGGTCCCAGCACCAAAGCACCCAGCAAGGTGGGTGGCCGCAGGGAGCACAGCAAGGCGGCGGTGCCCCCCCCCACTCCCAAGGACCATGTCCCACGCCCAGGGGAGAGACGAACATTCGCACTGCGTCATACAAAGGCACTGGACGACGTGGTTTCATTTGCGAACTACACCTACTTGTAAGAAGGGAATTCCAGCTCCATTCTTTGTCAAACACTCGGCTCGTTCTGTGAATGAGTGTGTGCCTGTGCGCTTGTTCGGGGCTTTTGTTTTTTATGTTATTTTTTATGTTAAAATGCAGTTCAGATCTTTCTGAGATTTAAGTGTATTTTTCAGTTTTTTGAGGAGCAAACAGTCCCCGAAATCAAGAAACACGCACGCGGGAGCGAGCACGAGCGGGATGCCTTTCTGTTTCCTCTCTCCCCCGATTAAGCTATCTTGTAGCTAAATGACTAAACTGGGTTTCCTGGAGTAGCAGCTGTCACCGCGTGTGATGTGTTCTATTCAGCCAGGGCCGACTCGGGGGCTGTGTCATTTGTCCTATCTTTAAATTGAGGTCAGGGTGTCACACACAAGCCCTCCCTGGGGAGGAGAGTGGACCAGACTAGGTTGCACACTGTCAGCTCAGTGGAAGCGCCACCTGGGGCCTGTCACTCTGCCACACGCTAAGTGACACTGGGGCTGGCAGGTCGGCACTGCAGGGCCTGACTCTGGACTGGGCTAAAGTGGCAGACTGCACCCAGGCCCCGCCTTGGTCTCGTCGTGCACACAGACTGCAGATTCTTGTCCGAGTTCCTGTCCTGTTCGGCCAACTCTGCAGAAGAGCAGCCCTTCCCTGCTGGCGGCCGAGCCCAGCTCCTCCGCAGCACGCGTGGCTCAGGGAGTGCTCGCTGAAAAGGGAAGGTGGGGTGGGGCTGGAAGGAGCCCCCATTTCTGCTGGGCTGTGTGATTTAGCATGTCACTGCCGACTGGGACAGCTTTGTCGTAATTTTGGGTGTTGCTAGTGTGTCTAGCCTGTCTCCAGGCAGAATATTCCAGACCTCTTGACCCATCTCCCACCACACACACACACACACACACACACAACAACTGTT